CTGAAAGTATTTCCCTTTTTGCTACTCTTACTGGAAGTACCTGAAGAGCACTAGGGTGCAGCAGAGACATAAATGGAGCCTACAGAGACTAGCTGCAGGGACAGCTGTCAGTTCTGAAATTGATAATCTGTTTTATAGATGACTTTTATTATGATGATTATTTCCAAGTGGATATTTAAATATTTTTGAAATTATGTTATTTGATTTGGAGTGGTTGTTGGACATGCAAAACAGACAAGAAGCACATTTCCTTTACTTCCCCGCCACTTGCTCAAGAGCAAGTCTTGTCTGATCTCGGTGTTTCTGTGCTCAATCAAAAATCCTATTAAGAGCCTCTCAAATTTCAGCATGATACTTTTACAAAATCATGTTTAATTATGTGTAGCTAATTCTTTATATCTGCATATTAAAACCCAAAGAAATACTCCACTTTCAGTAATAAAGTACAGACTATGACATCAGTTCCCTATATAGCAAGTTCACATGATGGAAATTGGTGTAGGTTTCCAAAAAGGATGTGAAGACAAACCTGAGCATTGCATCCAAAACCACAATGCTGGGTGGGAAAATCAAACCTCTGCTCTATTCTGCCTCAGTAATGAGTCTCAAATTGCAGCCTAAATGGAATGTAGATCCAGATCTGAACTGTGACGTATAACCTGTCACATTGTCTACTTTTTGGGTTTTTTTTGTTTTGTTTTTCTCTTCATAGCTGGTCATCCAGATAGCCAGTTTTTCCCTCTTACTTTGTCTGTGTCAGCCATCAAAGCATAAATATGTTTAAATAACAGATTAAAGAACTTCCTTGAAATGTTAACAATTTCCTTTTATCTTTTTAAAAAAATCCTGCATTTCTCAAGTGCTATTATTTTTATTACTACACATACATAAACCAGGATTTTTCATTCATTGTCTCCTTCAGCTTTATTTCACACCTCGAATCATAATCCATTTTACTCAGGTAAGAATTATATACTGAATGCCTTTACCTCCAGTTTCCTAGGGGCTAAAAATGTTTTATACTAGTGTTTTTCAAGCCAGTGAACAATTGCGTTTTCCGGAAATTATTTCAGAAAAGCAGAAAGCACCTCAACTTAAAGAAGAAATGCTCCCTGATCACAACTGCAATTCAATAATTTATTTTTGTTTCTGATGTGACCCTCCTGAGTTAGAGAAAACATTATGAACAGTTATGAGGCATGGAGCCATTTCATCACCATTTTATTAATCAGCCATATTGCTGTAACACCTAGAGCAAAGAGTGCTGTTGCGTTGTGGTAGGTGTTGTACAAGTGATCACTTGTGACTGGCAGCAGATGAGCTATCACAGCAAGCACAGCTGTGGCAGAAACAGCCGCTCCTATGCAAATAACCCTAATAAAAATGGAAATAAGACAGGTGGAAGATCAGTTTCTTAGTAAGATTGTTCCAGAGTGCTCTTCAAAAGCCCATCTGTCTTTACAAATAAATAGGGCCTTGTATTCATATTTGATGACAAATAAGAATTGGATAGTATGGGAACAACAGAAACGGAATGCAACTGATGACAGGCTAGCAGTGAAATAGAAGGCTACTCCCATATTGCCCATTTAGAGAACGTAATTGCAGGTGGGTAGAAATTGTAACTTGATATAAGTATCCAGATCTTCTGTTATTGCTAATCCCTCTGGGCCACTGAAGTATCCCAAGCCAGTATGATGTGACAATTAGAAGCTTTAAAGATACTGGATTCTGCATCTACTTTGCCCTTCAAACTGCTGCAGTTGTGTAACTGTATTAAGTGTGATCTTGCCCTGTTCGACATCATTCTGGGAGCTGCACAGTAAGGCTGATCAATAGACATGGTCAGTTGCATGAAAGTTTCACATCAGGAAATCAGTGTTCTGCAGAGAAGTTCAATTTTTCTTTGGCAGAAGGAAGGATTTTTTTTTGTTTGTTTCTTTAGTACTGATTTGCTCTTTTGCTTAATAAAACATCCCATTTTGCAAAGACAGCAACATAAACAGAGAAGAGGAAGCAAAAGAATCATATTCCCAATATTCTGACACAATCCTATGCTGTTAAAAAGTGAACTATTCAATCCCAGAGATGTACAATATGTAACAAATGCATAGAATGAATGACACATAGCATCTTCAGAAACGGTCATCTGAGGCTTAAAATCAAGTAGCACAGGAAAACAGAAACATAACCTGCCCACAAATCATTCCTTCAGGGTATCCCGAGACCTTTCCCTGTGCCCAGTCTTTTAAGTTAGCAGAGGAGCTGAAAGTGAGCATCAGTGACAGATGTGATTGCTTTCTGCTTCCTGATGACAAACCGTGTATTTATGGGACAGATATTATCAAGATGTTTACTCGTTTACGATGTTTACTCTTTCAACTTCTAGATTTGATACTTGCTTTTAATTGCTCTTGTCAGGTTAGCATATTTATAAAAAGTGAGAGGAATATAAATTGTAAATTCCTAGGTATTTAAACCAGAAGTAAAATTATATTCACTGAACTCTACTATTTTCTTCTTTTTATATGTTTTTATTCTGAAAAAGTCCCGTGAGTCCTATGATCGAACTTTTGACATTAACAGGCAGAATACAGATACTGTTCTGTTACCAAGCTTGTCATTTCGTAGAATCCAACTGAAACAGTCAAAGGAGACTTAAAACTCTATTTTCAATAACTGCAAATGAGGCAAATGTGAGGTGTTGTGTGTTTAAATCTGTAGGAACAGAACTGGGTTGATCACTGATTCTATTTGGACCTCTGGGTTGTTATCATGCCTTTCAATCACTGACAATATTGAAACAAGAATCCTAGACATGAAAGGTTGTATCATGGACTCTCTGAGTTGCCCAGTTCTTGCAACCCCTTTATTCTCCATGAATGCGTAAAAAATTTTCAGAATGTGAATATTTAAACGCAGGAAGGTAACCAGCACTTAGGCATGGAGTTACGTGGGAGACAGCTGGGTGGACTTGGACTTTGTAGTGCTATGAACCTGCTTACAAATTCAGCTCAGAAAGAACCAGTGCAAAGACTAAACCTCCTATCTATGTCACTGTTTCATCTATGTGGTTACACGACCATGTTGCTAGTTCACTTGCCTGCTCAGCAATTCAAAGGAATAAGAAGTGTTTCCTTGCAGAGCTCTGTCTGCACTCGGCATATTTTAAACAAGTGTAGTGTAAAAAATATGTCTTGCTTTCTCTTCCATTTTGTGTATCTTCCATTTTTTCTCTTCACACCACAGTGTAGAGTGCATTGTTTTCTTCTGTTCTAGGAGTTGTCCTTTTCTTTCCCTTCACTCTTATTTCTCCCTTATGCTGCAGGCTTTTCTCTGTTGTATGCCTATCTCTCTCACACTCCTTGCTCAGCCTCCTTCAGAGCATTGCCTGATTAGAATGGCTGGGAAAGCGTAATTTTTAGCTGGAGCCAAACAACCACTCAAAACTTATTCTCAGGGCTGAGCTGTGGAGGCAGCACTGCCGTGTCGTGGTAGTTTCCCAGATACATTAACTTTTACAGAGAGCTGCCCTATCAAAGGAAACAAAACTTCTCTGGCAATGAATCCATTAGAGATGGCCACTGCGACACCCTTCAGCTGGTATTTTTGCTCACAGTCACCTGGCAGAAAAGAGTCAAGCCCCATTCCTTGCCTGTGGTTATTCCAGCTGCTGAATTCTCTGCCTGTCTGTCTCCTCACTTTTAATTAACAACTGATGAGGTCTGGCTGAGGCAGACAGTTCACTCAAGTCCAGCTGCCCTAATTCAGCGCTATGAGGTGGGAACGCACCCAGTTTCCAGACACTCACCCAAATCCGATTGCACTGTCTTTTGTACTATCTACACAATTGACTTGGAGAGTACCAGAAAACAGTTCATGTCACTCTCGCTAACCAACCATTTTAAAGGCTTTGCATTTCCTATTTCATGGAAGTTCAACACATTAAATTTTAAAACCGAAACAAATGGAAAAATGTATCTTCAAAAAGCCACATTAGCGATGTGGTCAATTGCTTTTACACTTCAAAAATCAGTGCATGGGGTTCTCACATTACTGCCCTACACCACTAAACAAAGAAAAGTTTACAGTTTTCTGGATTAAATCCTTCACTACAGTTCAAGCAACCACATCCCTGTACAAAGCACCTAGAGGAAATAATATCAATAGCCCCTTGTTGCTGAAAAGTGGAAAAAAGCCCTCCTTAAAAGGTATAAATGACAGGGAATAATTGATTTCGGAAGTGAGTAACCCTGGAAATTCATGTAAGATGCCAGTAGTGGAAAAATTATGCAATAGAAAGTAAGATGGCCTAAAAGTGAGGCCCAGGCAGTTTAAGAAGCATCTGTACTGTGTCTTGTGTTCAGCTGGGGAGCTGGCCAGGAAGCTGCTGCACTGGGAAATAACGATGAGGTCCATAAAAGGGATGGAAAATGTACAGATGAGTGTTGCTGCAGGTGTTACAGACTTCCAAAGGACCTGGCTGTTGGGCCTTACTGTGAGAAACTGGCAGTTTTGCCAGACTGTTGAGGGATGGTTATGCCACAAGAGGATGCACTGGGATAACAAGGCTAACAGCATGGATAAAGGCATTATACAAAGCATACGATAACTTAATGGTGAATAATAATATTCAAAATAACTTCAATATCTTCTCATAGAAACAGTGTTCTCAATGATTTCTTCATATTCCCTCCACCTGAACCTTCACAAATACGATTTTACAAGTGTCTCTTTACCCTTAATCTTTTTTTTTTTTTTTTTTCCCATTCATTGGGGAGACAATTACTCACCTGTGTGTGTATCAGCCTATGTGAAAAGGTGAACATAACCCCTTCCTTTAGGTATAACTCCAATATCATCACTTTCTAATCAAGAATGACATGGGCAGCAGGTGTCCTGCTGCAAACACGACACACATCATTGTCCCATGTGCTTACGGTTTTCAGTATTCTCCAAAAATACGTAATAAAACAACTAGGTATTAAATGAAATCTTACCTATAACTTTTCCTAGGAATAATGCCTTTGGGGAATTGAACTGAATGTCAGATGCTGTTGGCAGGCTGTAACTTGTTGGAGGATAGTGATCAAGCTGGGGAAAAAGAAAAGAATTTATGAGTATTTTGGAACTGATCTGCCTTCTTACAGTGCTACTGAATCAGGTCTACTTTATGAAGCTTATGCCACCACTTACAACTCTGATATGATCTGGTTTCATTTTGGAAAAGTAACAGTTAATACCTTCTGTATCTGCCATCTCCACAGTTCCCAAGGCCTGGTAATTATGTATATTGGACATTTCTTTGTTCTGTTTGCTATACAATCACGTCAGCTTTTGCTTGTGTGCTTCAATATAATTGCTAAAAATAACAACAGCATCAACATCAACAATAAACCAGCTTATTATTTTAATATAAGATTTCCATTTGGGACCTATGTTACTGCTAAAGCTAGCTTTACACAGCTGAGAAGTTGAGACTAATGCAGGTGTTGGGCATTCTTCTTTTATCACAAAAAGGTAATAAATTAATAAGACATACCTTTTTTTGCACTTTGTGTTTATTTATTTTATTGTTGAAAATGTTCAATTTTATTGTGATGACACCTAGTGAGACCTAAAAAAAATAAACTCAACCATAATCAATTTAACTGAATATTTTAATCTACAGGAAACTCATATTGTCTATGATATGACACAACAATCATATTAAATTAGCATTTTTTTTCCTGTTTTTTAACTATTTAACAGAAAAAAAAAAGTGAAGAGAGAGGCATAAAATAAATTGCCTATGCTTAGTAATAGCACTGTTAAGATAGGGCTGTTACTAGGGATACTAAGTTCAACACAGCTCAATAGAGTTTTGATGTTCACACTTCATAAAGGTAATAGGGGTGAATTTTTGTCTATGCTGTTGTTATTTATTTTCTCAGCTTTACTTATTTATTACACAGGCTTAAAGAGGGCAGAACAACTGTTTATTTTATTCTGGCTTTACCTTGAAACAAAAAAGGATAGAAACACATACATGTGATTTAAGACTTTGCAGCGTATAACAGACTGCAGAAGAAATTCTGGAGAAACTGCACTAGTAAAGGTCACACATTTTTTTCACATATGTTTTTGCCATATTACTACTTTTCAATGTCAAAAAATTATTATCTTGGATTAGTTTGCTTTAATGAAACCACAAAAGTTCAATTCAATGGTTAAAAGTAAATGAATGCCAGATAGTGTAGACTGAAGGGCTGAATCCCCTGGTACCCTGAAATACTGTGAACTCATGGAAAGCCTACTGATGTCATAACCATGAACCTGCAGAGGCAATCATAACTGAAAAAGAGGGGTCCTGTATTTTTTATAGTGCCCCATAAAACCCCAACAAGAGAAGTGTATACATAATAGAGAGGGAAAATGAGGGAAAATGTCCTCAGCAGATGACAAAAGAGGTCTAGCAAATATGTTCAGAAATAATTTTTAATTGATCATAACTAGTTTTCACACCAATTACTTAAAATTTGGCCACAAATGTTTATTAACATGACTACTGGCTATCTCCCAGTTTTAAACTGTAGACTTTTGAGCTAAATATATGGAAAAAACACAGTTCTGTCTTCTTACTCGTAAACTAAGAAGTTTCAGTCTGTTCAGAGTATCCTGAACAGCTTTTCTCAGATTTTTGATAAACAGTGGAAATACATATTTTATCTGAAATTAAAGTTATATAATTTCAAATCAAAACGAGTTCTTTTTGAAAGGGTGCAATCAAATGAATGCGGGGAGTTTAAATACAAACCAGATCTCAACCTTAACCACAGCAGGTCCTACTAAGTACAAACTCCAGTTAAGCGCTTGCTATTGGTTTCCTTGGTAAGGGAAATAGGTGTTCCAGCACCCAACATCGCAAGTGTCAGACCCGTTTTCAGTGGGAGCTGCAGGCATACCAGGTGCAACAAGAATTCCCTTCTTATTTCAGAAGACAAATGGGAATGACTCAAAGCTGTCATGGTATTTGCCAGTATGGTTTTTAAATTAAAGTTCTAGACTTTAGAGAGGTATATCAGGAAAAGATTGGTGAAAAGACTGATCCACAAAACCCTGATTCTCCACCCTTTCATATGACAAGACTTTAACTTCATGTAACATTTTTGCTTACAGTGGAATTTCTGTTACATTCTGATTGCATAGGATTCATCTTCTAGGTTCTCCTTTTATATGTATATGTATATAAATATTCTGAAACAACTGTTAAAATAATCTGTCATACTGTCATGTACATGGGTATTTGTCAACGTTTAAATTTTTCCTTTTCCAAAATCAATCTGGAGCAATATTTAAGTATTTTTTTTTTAATTATGACTTTGAATCTGAGCAATGAGGTTAATCAGATCATCATTAATCTGATAAAATACTAATAAATCACAATAATTATTATCAATCTATCATTTCCTTTATCAATGTCTTGTGTGTATCCTAGAGCTGTGGCCATGGTCCAGGTTACCAGTATCAGAATAACTATTAGGAACAAGTAATAAAGAAGTCATCCCTGCCTAATTTACAGGCTGCCTCTATCTGAGAATGCTGATTGTGTCTGCAGGACATACCTGAAAATGAAAAGTCAATTTAAATGATAAATCACTGTGAGCCTTTACATGGACAAATACAGAATACCAAATCCTGCCAGCTGCGGTGTGGTGAAACTCCCTTTGTCTTCAGTAGTGTTCAGGATGTGGAAAGGCTGTTCCACAACAGATTAAAAGAGACTCAGTATATTAGCTATGTAAAGCTATAGTTTGTCTCTTTGTAATACAGGTTCCCTCCAAGGCTGCCTTCTGCCCATACAGCACAACAACAGCTCTGAGGTCTAGGTTTTTATTCTTAAGCTGCTCTATAATTTGGGCCCAGAATATCTAATATATCACCCTGTCACCCAAAGCTTGGGTTTTATAGTTCAGGTAATCAAAGATGATATATTTGCTAAGAAGCTCTTTTCTGAGGCCATGGTGAAAATCCTTGAGGAACCAAAGAGCATTGCAAACCTCACCTTGTTCTGGCAGACACAGTTCTCCAACTTCATCTTTCCTGGCAAGAATGCGTAATGGCAGACACATTTAAAACAAGTAAAAATATACCATTACACTATGACTATGAACCCAAAATAATGCTACAGTATTTCACCAAATTCCTCAAACTGATGTGTGGTCATAGGTTTCACTTCTCTGGAAATGGGGATGGTGCCAGTGTTTTGGCAGATGAGCAATGGGCAAGGAACTGTCATTCTTGCCCTCTTCCCCCTTTTTTTCTGTTTCCTTTGGGAAATCCCTACACAAGCGCAGCAGGGAGGCAGAGGTAGACCCATATGCACACCTGCACACCGGAGTCCTCCAGTGGGACTTCTGTGCCAAAGCTCAACGAGAGAGGCTGCAGCAGGCTGTGCAGGACATGCCAGAGGTGAAACCATGCAGCTTTCTGGTGCAGCCAAAAAGGAGTCAGAGATATGAGCAGGTGTGCTCCCTTTTCCCTTGACCTTGGAACAGTTTAGTTAGCAGTGATCTTGGTCAGATTTAAAAAAAAAAAAAAAAAAAAATTAAAAAAAAAAAAAAAAAAAAAAGAATCCTTCCAGTGACCTCGTGTCCCCTTGGGACTTCATCAGGGCAGAGCTACCATCATGGTGCAGAGGCAAAAAGTCCTGCTGGGTGTGGGAGCCAGGGATGAAAACAAGGAGACTAATGCTGTGTTACGTTGCAGACTCTTAACAGACACAGCCAGTTTACGGTAGGATTATTAGTTTAAACTGACCTCTTGAATAACTGAATCTATCTACCCACATATACTTTCTAGATCTCAATGAAGTCAAGGAAAGATTTCAGAATGGGTTCAGCTATGAACTGTTTTAAGGGTTTAACGACTCTGAAGTCCTGGGTTGTTTTGACTCCTGGTTGAAATACATCTCCATTTAAAAATTGTTGATACTGATTTCCTGGCCTTGCCATCAGTAGGGGCAAGTATTTCTGATTAGTCATAGAGCCAGCTCCTGCTCCACTGCCAGCTCTGGCATCTCCTGTCCCACTGGGGACACCTGTATGACCTTCCACAGCCAGCTCTGAGCTTTGCCTTTCTCTAATCTTGGCACCTGAAATGAAATGGTGCACAGCAAGACAACAGTGAGGGAACAGTGAGATTTCTGTCCACTCATTTTTATTGTTAGTCTTTGTTCTAAACTCGCATTATCTAACGAAGTAAAACTTTTTTTACAAGGACTTAACCTAGGATTTCTTTTTTAGGTCAGCAAGTTTAAAGGACCGAGCTGAATTCTTTCCAAAGTTGTATGTGACTGCCATCCAGTGGATGCTCAAGTGTAAGCAGCTGGAACTGAGCAGGCTGCAGTCTGTGTATGAAATACTGGGCTATCAATCCCATATAAAACACATAATAAAAAAGGAATTACTAGAGTCAAATGAGATTTGAAAAAATATATATTACATTATTTAATGAAAATTAAATAGAACCTCTGCATACACAGAGGGTGATGTAATGAATTTGTATTAAATTACAGTTTTAATATTACATTTAAGATTTTTCATTTCAGCTACTTTTCTTCAAAAACTCATTCATTTCGTTTGAGCTTACTATAAACACACAGTGTGGCTTTGAGCATTAAACAGATGAAAGTAGATGGCAGTTCTGAGGAACTTGCAGTTTCAGTTCTCAAGTCCTGTCATGCCAAGACAGACTGTCTTTATCTGAAGTTGCTGGGATTTAAGCAGAAGTTCAATAAAATGCTATTTCTTTTAAATTACTGTTCACTTAGATAATAAAACTAATCTTGACAGGAGTGCTGAGATTAAGACATATCCATCTAAGACATAATGCCTACATTGCCTTAGTAGTCTCAGAAAAAAACATTTATATATATATATATATAAAAGGAATATTTACACACACACACACACATTATATTCACCCTGTGGGTATATCTACATCTGTATTATTGTCAAAGCAGCCTGTGTGTCTGTACTGCTATAAAGCTAAGGTTTTCCTTTATGCTGAAGACATTTTATAAAATATAATTTCAAAATGATATGGAATAATAA